CCTCCTAGACAAACACGTAAATAATCGAGGTAAGTGGAAATTCGTAATCTCTGCCTACCTCTCTGAGTGAAAGATACGAGTGTTTATAATTATATGCTACACAGAGATTTTAAACTTTATTTCACAGTGGTTTCTTTATTTTACTGTTGACATAAAGAATAAATTTGTCACCACATATTGGTTAGAGTTTAACCTAGACTACCCGAAAAAAAAAAACATGTTTTCTCCAGTAATAAACAAAATTAACTCTGTGAAAACCTCCTCGATCACAACCGCTTCAGCGTATAACTTGCACCCGGTGGCGCTTCCGCTGTGTTGCTTCGCAACGCAGTGATAACTATGTACATTTGAAACAATAAAGCACATATTGATTTATTGTCTGCGCCCCCATCGCCGCCACGTTGCGTAAAGTGCGTTCTCCGCGCGAGGTGTTGAGTAACATTTTTGTAATTAAGAAGATATTAAGTTCTAGACGTGCCCGCGACTTCGTCCGTGTGGAATGTAACATAGTTAAATATCTAAAATAAAAGTGGCCTAAGTTACTCCTTATTACATCAGCTATCTGCCAGTGAATGTCCCTTCAAAATCGGTCCAGCCGTTTCAGAGATTAGCGGGATAGACAGACAGAAAAAAATTGGAAAAATGTTATTTTGATATATTTACTGTGTATAAACCCATATGCATTTAGTAAAAAGTGGTTATTTTTAATATTACAAACAGACCCTTCAATTTTATTTATCTGTATAGATGATTCATGCTAATATCCTCAATGCAGTTCATTCGATGACGATTTCTTGTGTTCATAGGAATGTAAGTAAAAATATGCACTGTTTTTACTTAACAATTGGGTCGAAATGTCGGGTGTTATTACAAAATGAAACGTAAATCAGATTTACTTAAATCTAATTTACGAGTGTCGTGCGTTTGATTTTGCAATAACGCCAGACGTTTCACAAAATGAACCATTATTACAAAATGAAACGCACAGCACTAGTAAATTAGATTTACTTAAATTTAATTTACGAGTGTCGTGCGTTTCATTTTGTAATAACACCCGACGTTTCGACGTTTTTCACGCCCAGGGCATGCTGTGAATTGTTTGAAAAGCCGGGAATCGTCATTGATTTTAATTTAATCTTTTCATGAAAATGTTACCATGTTTTTATTCTTTAAATAACTTGACATCTATTTCATATAAAGCCTTATACGGTTCTTCTAGATACCACTAAAAGAGCATTCTAGAAAGAATGTCAACATTATTATTATTTTCGCATCAATCAATAACACTACCAATTCTCTAGACTCTAGCGTCTTAAACTTTTTATTGCCATCTTTCAGCCCTTTCACCTTACTGCCAAACAGTATTTGCAAATATAACCAACTACAATGTGTTGTTAGGGTAAAAGTTCCACGAAGCTATGTTCCCTATACAAGTTTAATTCTAAGCCGAACAAAAACTCATTAGCCGTCGCACCATAGCGCGGGGTTGTAATTCTTCTGGACTTCCGACGTCCGCACAATGTGATTGTTCGGCCCTCTAATTTGAAAAATTGATTACAATGCACAGAGCACCCTCCCTGCTCGCGCTCTATTGTTCTTCTCCGCGCCACACAGTGTAACCGCCGTGCAGACTTATCGACAGTTGAGATGACAATTAGCTCTTTATCAGAATTAGTCTCGTTCATTGTATATAGACTTGAGAAACAAATTGACACATAAAACAATTAAACTCCAATTAAGGTCTAATTTAAGACGCCGAGGGCGGCCGAATGTGTTTTGTGGTTGTAATTTTATAATAAATTAATTTGTAATAACTGTTAGAAACGTATGTGTTGAACACCTAGAAGACATTTAAAAAGTAAACAAAACTCATTTCGAAAACAAATAATATTTGCAATGATAATGCTATCTATATTTGAAGCACTGTGCTAATCTATGAGCAACTCTCACCTTTAAAAATCTCAATAAATACATATGTACACACATACGGACGGACATAACACAACATTATATAACTCGACTGTACATAATTAAATGTTACTATATTTAACATGTTCATAAAATTAATTGAGATATAAACAGTTGGAACATTGCTTAAAAATGTAATAAAAAACAAAGTAGACAAAATACGTTGAGATTTTCGTCGGTGTGATGATAAGCCGTTTAGCATTGTGGCTAGAGCGTGAAATGCGTATCTCGGAGGAAGCAGGTTTAAATTCGCGGCGGCGAAAATCTTTCCCCCGTCCATTTTTGTACAAATTTTGAAATTTCGAAATATAAAAAGTGCCTCAGTTGTCTGTACATTGATTGCTCTACACGAGCACGGTACCTGCTGCCGGCTACTCTGTGCATGTGTCGGATTGCCCGCGAGTCCTGCACGGATTGTCGGGAGGAAACAGCCACGCTACAAATGGACTGGGCGCTGACGAAGGGTCCGTGCAGTGCCCTAACATGATTTTACGACTTCCGTCGCTTAGCGGCCGGCGACCGCGATAATTCCCATTTGATTTCGCATCGTCGGATTGCTTAACGTACTCTGATTATTCGACCCTTGTAGTCGCAACCGGACGTAAGGATCGCTGTTACAAAACTTTGATGCGATAGCCGTGATAGGTCATTGTCCGGGCGCTAGATTTACTAAAATATACTCGAGCTTTTCTAGTTCAATCCCCGATGCCGGCACCAATGGAATTTTTAATTTTAGCGGTGAAGCAAAACATCGTGAGGAAACCTGAACAAAATCGAAATAATAACAAAAAAAATATTTCGAAGATATTTTAAGTCCGCCACTAATACCCTCTGTACAGAGGCTGCCTTTGCCCAGGAGTGGCAAAAATAAATAAAAATATATGCTGTTACTAAATCGTAGGTGATAATAATACAAATATACAGGAATACGAGTATCGCGAAACACAATCGCGTGCAAAAACAATATTAGTGTCATGTTTGGAAGATGTTAAATAGAACTAATTTACAACATCCGTGGCCTTGTTTGACTCCTGTTAGGTGTTCGAAACGACGGAAGTTTAAAGCAAAATTTAATACCTTTATTAGTTTTGTTAATCAATGTGTAGTATTTGCGTGAACATAGAAAATCATTATTTGGGAGGTGTATTCAGATTAATTAGTTTAACTATTGTATTTGTGAGCTGTGATATTTCGACTCTGTATATAGTAATTACCAACGCCTATAAATAAAGATTAATTTAAGACTAATTAGTAGTAGTCAGGGATAAAATTACATTGAGGCTAGTTCATTTGCTCATTTTTTTTCCATTGCCATATTAACATTATCCATGTTTGCTGGTCGATGTTACGACCAAGTTAAGAGTCGAACTGCCGCGTTGCGTGCCCATCGCTTTTCTGCTTTCATTGTCCCAAGGCTCTATAAATCTATACTATAATAAAAGAGTAAAATCGGTGTGTCTGTACATTGAATATATTTATGAAAAATGATATAGGATATCACAAAAAGAATTACCTATAATAAACTAGCTGATCCGGCAAACGTTGTTTTGTGGAATTTCGTAAAATCCATTCTTAGCTGACCTCTACTCGGCGTAAGGAATATTCCTACCAAATTTAAATAGGGCTGCATTTTTTTAAGTGCATACATCAAGAGTATTTACCTGACACTACCACAATAAAGAGTGCAATAGTTTACGGGAAATCAAAACAGAAATCATCATGAATATTAAAGAAAAAAATTTAAATACGTGAATGTTCGCACAGGTCGACTGCCGTAGATCGTTAAGTGTTATCGGGCAATAAATACAACATACTGTATTCGTTACGGTACGTCTTATCTAAAACAATATTGATTCAAACTAAACATATACCGCTGGTCACAATAACACGTTGAAACGTCTAACCATATTAGACTGACGGTTTTTTGTTCCCTGGCGCCGCGCATCGAAGCCACCTGTCGCCTCTTTAGCAACATAGCACTGAATCGCCATTTTTTTGTATCTAATCGACCAGTTTCTATATAAAGCAATTTGAAACGATTAGTTGCGATCGTCACAGTATAATCAAATACTCTCCATAGTTTTTAAACGTCATACGCTCATCGAACAACACGCTAGATTGATGACACCCATCAATTAATGTTACAATATGGAAACACGAATTAATTGTTTCCGTCAGCTTGTAACATTAAATATTCATAGGCTACTGTGGATGTTCTGAGCTCGTGTTAATTAGCTTACAGCGTGGTTTTATTACTCTTAAAATTGATGTCGACCTGGGTGAGTTTTAATTTAAAAAAATACTATTAAAAGTGCAAAGATTAGCACTATAAACAATTTAATTAAAAAAAAAAAATACTAATTCATACTAATATTATAAGTGCGAAAGTAACTTTGTCTGTCTGTCTCGCTTTCACGCCAAAACTACTTAACCGATTTAAATGAAATTTGGTACACAGATAGTCTAGAGCCTGAGAAAGGACATAGGGTATTTTTAAATAGGATTTTTTTTAAAGAAAGATATTTAAGGGCTTCAACGAGAGCGAAGCCGCGGGCGAAAAGCTAGTATACTATAAACTAAAATCATCCTATCTGTACGTGTGTATATCACTTCACTGAACTCCTCCTAAACAGCTGTACCGATTTTAATGAAATTTTTTGTGTCTTCTGGTCGATTCGTGAATGGTTTCACAATTTTTTTTTATGTTATCAGATTTAAGTCGTGTCTACAGGACTGCGTCTGTCGGGTCCGCTAGTAGGTATATATATAAAATACAACTATACCCTACACGTCCACATGTGGGTTAGAACTTATTCTGTTTCGACAATGGACCATTCCAATGTCTGATTCTAGACACAAAAGTCGTCTGTCGGCTGGATCAGTCTGTAATTTGAATTTCTTCAACCAAAGAGTTTTCGTCACCACCTAATAAAGCTTGAAACTTCTTGAATATTCTTTGTCGACCGTACTAAGCGTTTACAGTGCGGCGAAGGGAGGTGCGATTACGAAACGCCGTCGACAAGGTTTGATAGATGATCCGAGACGGGCACGTCCTGTCGCCGGCCACCGATCTATGGCCGATGTCGACGATAGCCATCGCCGTAATGTCGATTATCGTCACCGCGCTTGCGCAACGGGCTAATGACTCGTGACGGATGATCGGTCCCGATAATCAATAAGTTCGGACGTTGCGTTGAGCAATAGCAGCGCCTACGAAACGCTCGCCTTCGGAATACACCCCCGTCGCTAATATGTCCGCTAGCACCGCATAAGTTAATTTCTTACGTGGGCATGTTTGAGTTATCGTTTTTCACGTTATCATTTTGTAATTCGTATTCGCTTTCAATCTTTCTTAAAGTATTGGTTATGACTATCGATTCGTTCTCTTCGTTCTTAATAGTGCATTAAGTATCATAATGTTTTCTTTAAGGTTTGCTATATTTCCTATGGTGTTATTTTTTTTAAAAACAATTCGGTCTTATTCGAGTTATGTGTTATCGGTAGGGAGTCGAGCAGTAAATAGTAATACATAGGATCGAATAATTTGTAAGCCCTCCGTTATTGTAGGTACTCAATTGCGGCGGCGATCGTTAAGTGAGCCTCCAGTATTTTTACCCCTTTTATTCCATAAAAAAATCTCGTAATAATCCTAGGAAGGATTATTATCTTACGATTTATATCACACCGAAAAATGGGATAATTTACGCAAGATTTTCCAAAGCATTTAGAGTAGCCCAGAAACAGCGGGAGATTATTTATGGTTTAGTGATTATACACAGTTGTCAATGTCGGCTGACGGCCAAATTTCAGTTTTTGTTCAACTTTTTTTGTGCTCTACCCTAAACGCTGAGAATAATAGTTATATATTCCATTTATTTTCGACCGGTATTGTTCGTTTGACCACAAAGAACGTTCTTATCAACTAATTAAATGTAGCTAGTTGGTTTTGGAAAAAAAGTAACTTTAAAGTTAAACCGGCGTATATTTTTACCACGCTATCTTGTCTATTTTCGCTCTAAAGCATCAAAGCTGTCTTCAACCGATCAAACTTACTTCACAGGAAAATATATTTCGTCTCAATCTTAGAACCATAGCGGACTTAATTGTCTATCGTAGAAACCGTAGATTGTAAATAGACGATAATCATGAACAATAGCTGAAATCAGGAGTGATTCGTCATCTCTGGTCATCAGTCCGCGTCAATGCCCCAACATGCCGGGCAGCTATGGTCATTGCCAAGGGCGGCCCGACTCCGTTCCTCCGTCGATGGCGTTCGGATGTTGCGCAACACGTATTCCCTTCTCTCCTAACATCAGCGCCGACACGCGTTCTTGCGGCAAGCATGGCTGTGTTCGGACGTGTCTTGATTTTTTTTTGAGTAATGATGTATCGAGAAGCCGAAAAGGAATATAAATGATGCTTGTAAAATGGAAAGAAGTAAGTGATTAAGATGGCCAGTGAGCTGCTCAAACATGCTTCGATGTATTTCGCTTATTAAAAAAAATAAAAACTTTCTGTGCCCTTATCCCAACTAGATGGGATCAGCACAACGTGTGAATCATGTCGTTAATGATATTGGATGGATTTTTTCCTGACGTCATCCTTGAGAATAAACACCCAGATCCGGATCTACTATTTGTGGGTCACACAAATATTCGTCCCAAATGCTTGTCATAACTCCACGGAGTCATCAACAACATAATATGAATTTGTTGTTGTGAAATGTTGGGTACACTACACGTGCATTACAATGTAAGAAAGTGTTATTAGGCTTTATACCGTATAAAGGCAATTGACAAGAAACGGTTAAAGCTCACATACAATGACTCGTGGTCTTAAAATTTTTGATTGTTCACTTCGATTATGAAGACATTCCGTCTGTCAACACATACGGCGTTTCGGTTATAAACGTGAATAATGCCTTCGTTTTGTCAAAACGAATAACCCTCGGTGCCGGCGACGAGGCGTCCGCATCTTCCTTTCCCCAATTTCTCTTTCAATAAAACCGAAATCGATCAAAGCGCGCCAGTGACATCGCGTCCTGTCCCTAACTGCGCTTTCATTATGAAGAATGGTATTTTCACGAGCTCTCCACCAGACACGCTCGCTCGCAAATTCATAAAGACGACGCGACGACCGCTCGTAAATACTCGTTGGTGGGCAACAATTGGCCGCAACTGATCGCCTCCGATTTATGGCCCTTGCAGCTTTTAATCGGATCGTGCACAATTAATTACACTTGTTTTGCATATTTGTTCGGCGCACGCATTAGGTCTTTTTATTATGATAATGAGTACTGTTTATAGTCCAGTAAAGTAATAATGTATACATAATTTTTTATGTAATCACTTTACAACAGCAGGATCAACATTGGCTTGCAGATACGTTGCAAACCATCTAAAAGGGGTCCCGTATACCTCACTCACCAGACGAAACGCGAAAGTATCATACTTCTACTTCACGGCTGTATTCTGTGAGGCCGTGGTACTTCCTAGGACGAGCCTGCCTATTTATGCAACAGCAAAAGCTACTGCGTGGCCCTACCACAGCAGTTGAGAAAGTTGCGATCGACGTTATTGGTACATGAAAACTGAATCCGATAAATAATATTACTGTTTACCAATTGAAGGTAGCCGGTTTAAGGGGATAACTTGGGAGGGAATAACATAACTTGATAACTAGGGAGGGGATAACTTAACTTCATTTTCTACCTGGGCCTAAACAATACTAATTATTGAATTGCAGTCGAGGATTAGTTAGTTCGGGGGAAATAGTTAAAAGTAATTCAAATTACAAAAAGGCCTTTCGGGTTTTGTTCTCACGGCAGATCAACTTCGACGAAGGATGAGTATAATAACGGTGTTTACGTCGATTTCGTTGCCGACTGTACACGATCGTCGAAGGCGAAACGTCTGTTCTCCGCGTAATCGCCGAGCACTACACGCGTGTCGTGTTTGAAACGTTCCATTGACGCGCAGGAAACGGCCGCGAATTTGCGTGCATCTCCATATTAAAGGTCCCGGCGAACACGAATCTTGAACGCTAATGCGACGTTAGCGCGCGTAAGATGTCCCACGTGCGATGTCTACTGACTTGTTTATTTCCTGTATGTCGCTTGATTCGGTACAGTCGAACGCATAATTCTTCGAGTCTTGTACGACACGTTGCGTTTTGTCACGAAAACTTTATATTTACTCGTTCCAATTAACGGGGGGGAAAGTTTAGAACATCTTACCTAATCTTTATTTGCATGGAAAATATTCCTGTGGAATATTAATAATTGAAGATAAGAAATCAAAAGGATCGGACCCTTCCGAAATTTATTACCGTCGTTAAATCTCGAACTCTCAGAAAAGTTGATAAGTGGATAAAGGTTTTAGGAAACCCATGAAAATTATCCCCTTGAAGCTTAACATAAAACATCCAAAAAACAAATGTATGCTCATCTTTAAGGTTTAATCAAGAAATTAAGAGCAATAGGCATAAAATGACCGATGAGTGTTGATAAATTTTGTCTAATTAATTTAAAGTTCACATAAATATAAGTACATACCGTTGTAACCGTATCCTAAAAGCTGGCGGGGTGGCGGGCGCTACGTGTGTAGAGGCGGTAATTGCCTCGGCTTTCGCAGCTGCTGGGCAGATGGTCGAAATTCGACGAAGGCCCTCGAGATACGCGAGCGGCGGGGCAGGTGCGCTTTTCGGGCCCACGGGCACGGATTCGCCCCACTATTCACATCGAATCCTAAAGTGTATACATGCAAACGTCCAGGCCCCGACGCGTAGCCGTGGCGCCTAAGGTACTATTCACATCGAATTGTAAACTGTATAAGCTAAACGCAAACGTCCAGTCATTAGCTGATGTATGGATTTATTTTAAACTTGACAATCAGACAATCGCTTTGGATTACGCAGTCTTTAAAGGGTAATTTAAAATTTTGTTGATGATGCCCATAGAAATTAAATACTGTTCGTAATTGTGCCCATTTTACGACACGATGACAGCCTGATGTGATACGCCACTAAGTGAATCTGTGACAGATTCACTTAGTGGCGTATCACATCAGGATCACATCCAGATTATACTTGGATACGAAACAAAACTTCCTTTATAACCTTAATTATGCTGGAATTATATTCCTACCTATTACTCAGAATTTTCATCGATGCCTTTGAAGCAGGTGAGCGTTTACTGTTGCGTTAGTCATTTGCATAGTTAACTAGCAAACGACCTAGAGCTCGACGAAGCGCCGGCCTATTTGCCTTTAATATCTGGGTCGCGGTGCCACCGGGCCATATTGATCTTTGCCACAGCCCTTTGTATAAGGTAACCTTGATTAGAATTATTCATAGTAACTGCCGGTTAGCGCGAGTAGTTCACAACTTTCGTTGTAAGATATTATAACGGTTTAATGGGATAATAAATTTCCTGTATTTACGTGATTACACATTACTAAATGATACTATGTTTACGGATTTATCGCGTTTCTGATTGATTCGAACGACGATGTGAAAATTAACTATTCAAAAACTGATAGTAGCCCAGGTTAATTATGACATTCAGACGTCCAACGCCTCAATCTGTCCCGTGACCATGAACGCCGTAAAGGGTTCGAAACGTCGGGAGTTAAAAAGAAAAATAAACGCGATAAATCCGTAAACATGGTTTCGTTTAGTAGTTTAATGGAATTACAAATTTATAGTTTGTTTATGATGGTTAATAGACTCTCGAAGTCGACCCAATAAGTTTAAAGATATACGAACTTTGCCAAGCTCCTTTCTCTCTCGTTACAAATTTAAACTAAACTTTCTTAGCTTTCCTCTGATATCCGACGTATGTTACTGCGAATATAATTTTATTCCCATTACGTTCAGTGAGTCATAAATTTGTTTTCAGCCAAGTCACACTGCAGGTAGCTTCTCAGATCAAAGACATGTAAATAATTTGCATGATAACACGCGTCTCAAATTTCTTAAACCACTGAATCATATGAAGGGGCATCGAACCACCAAACTCTGATCGTCTCACAGCAGGTGACTGCACATTGCGCTGACCGAATTCCGGGCCATATATCTGTTATCATTTTATTAAACCCTTACACGCCATTAAAATTAGGCATTAGTGTATTCGCCCCAAGCCTTTTGCCCGCGGGATACGTCCGGGAGTTTACCACCGATTTACAAGTCAGATTTTGCTTTTAATGGTTTCGTTTTGAAATACATTTTTAAGTGGCTTCGTCACGCATAAGGTCTTATCCAACGAACGATGTGATATCAGCATTAATTGTATGGTGTATTGACAGATCTATTCGCCCACACACTTAGGCGTCAATCAAAACAGGTCAGTTAATTGGTTCCTATTATGGTTGCTTCGTTAAAAAAACATTATAATGTACCGCAGAATCTATTGATTGCAACCTGTATGATTGATAAAATACGACAAGGCCACAATTCATTTTATTTCTATGAATCGGGAGTTAATTTATGAAGGAAATACTGGTCGAAGGAATAAAGTGAGCTTTTTGTGAATGCGACAAGGCTTTTAAACCTTGGTACTTATGTTAGGGATTTTCAACGTTTTACAATTTCCAGAATTTTTTTCAGCGAGCTCTGTTCCACCGGATGGAAAACTTATAGTAGAATAGGCAAGAAATGTCTTCTCCTACTTAACTTTGATCTTCTTTAACGCCGTGGTAAGAAGAAGGTATCTTTTTTCTTTACTGTTTGAAGCTTATGGTTTATATCTATTACCGCCGGAAAGTTCACGTGTCATTACTTTTGTAATGTATGTATTTATATGTGTGTCAATGTCTGTGACCTCTGGAAGCCTCCAAATCAGAATATTAAAAATGAAATAATTGAAATGTGACCGTGAACACGATCGAACGAATTAAAATTTCACGCAAGTAAATTCATCTTTTTCTCCATCCCCACTTTCATAAACATAGATTAAAGCCAAAACATATATGTCAATCAAAATATTAACGTTTAACGGCATTAGTATAAGGCCGTTAAACATTGCCGAATAGAAGCGAATATATTCATAACATTCAAGTTACAGGCTCGTTAGAACACTTTTCCGATATTAAATCGTTCTAATATATTCTCTATGCTGTCTGATTGCACCATTAATTTTGGTCCCGGCAGTGGAGTGGAGGCTTAAACTGTTCACAATAAATACATCACGATGCTCGTAGACGGGGGCGCCGGCGCCGGGGATTATCCGGCCGGCCCGAAGACGTCTCTTATATAACAGCCACGACGCCCGTGGAATGTTAACAACCCTGTCACACTAATCTTCTTAAATTACATCGCTCCTTAGCGTCGTAGTTGAGGCGAAAACTTATTACGGCGACTTTCGGGTGTCGTTTACGTAATTAAACATCGCTCGGGCTTTATCTTTTCATTCTAATTTTGACTAATTGTTATAATATTCTAATGCTGTATTGAGTATTGTCAATGGGGGACACTGAAATTAACAGCCTATACATGTCCCACTGCTGGGGAAACGCCTCCTCTGTATAGAGGGTATCAGGGCATATTCCACTACGGATTGGCGGACTTCAAATATCTTCGAAATATTTCTTTTTGTTATTGTATCGAAATAATGCAGCTGAGCACGTGATAAGTCAACCTATGAATTTAACATTTTCATTGGTGTTCGAACTCAGGTTGCTCGAGTATATTGAATTAAAGGTGAGCGCCCGGACCCTGAGCTAACACGGCTGGGAGACGCTGAATACAATTTTATTTACACGGTCAGTCGGATGCAATGACCCAAAGGACGTGTCGTGTCTAAAATAATAGAAATTCTAACCAAAACTGGAAAGCACAATATTGTCGTTTAAAACCTATTTCACCTAAACAGTTTTCACACATTGCTCTTAATTAAAGACACCGTCGACTTGTTACTTCTCTAAACGGTGCAACTAGTATTGGACGTTCCATTTAAACCTTGTAGCCTGGACACACGAACGGGAATGTATCCGTTAACCTATTTACACCTCACATTGAACACTACTGTGGTTATTCACACCTAAGATGGGAACGGAATATTGTTTGGCCCCGCATATATACGCTACTGCGAAATCGACAGTTCCATATACCACGATTCTTCCCCAGACCAATGCAAAAGCGGAACAAACAATGTATGACATTAAAGAATAACAAATAATTAATTAGAGAATAACTTATTTTAGTAACTACTTACTTGGGTAAATTATCACTAAATGTACTACATACTCATAACTTTGGTGTTAAATTACTTACACAATGACATATACAATGTCAATGACAGAAAAACTTTTGCGTAGTAAGTTTTACCAGAAAACATGTAACAAACAAACGTACAATTTTTCTATAGTTATTAATTGGAACGATCATTCAATGAGTCACCAATAAAAATATCGTCATTAAGAAAAATATAATGTGCTAATTTAAAACAGGTCTGAAATAATGAATACATGAATTCGTTAACGCCAATTTATGAATATGAAAAATGGCGCAAACTATGAAAAATATCAGAAGACGTCATTACGATAACGTTCCGCATATCAAGGTCGTTCTTACAGCGTTAGCAGATAAAATCTTGATTAGCATTCAAAATGTGAATTTTAAATTACATCGGCGTATCTTTATTCATTATTCTAATCGGCGAGTTCACTGCGACGTAAAATACATTTGTATAAGTTATCTCCTATGCAATAATAATTCTACATGTTGCGCATCAGAGACTTTTAAACGGGCTGTGATGTACCAGACAATTTACGAACACGCCGATGATAACGAACAGTTTAAGCAGCCTATTTTTTTTAAAACTGCGCTTTACCGTAGGATAACATTATCCTGTGTAAGGACGTTTTACATACTAGTGCATAAATTTTAATTGTACAAACGCCCAGAATCCGAAACAACTACCACAGGATCATACAAATTGTTCTCTCGCGCGGAAATCGAACCCACGACTACAAGCCGATAGCTCGGCAACTGCGACGCGGAGTCAGATTACTCAGCCAGATGTTTCCGTGTCCCTTTTTCCCCAAACAAATATCGAACTCTGTTACGATTGGTCGTGTTTCCTTTGCAGGGGGAAATTCGCTTCGGTGCGCAAGATCCGCCACCTGGTCTCCGGCGAGGAGTACGCCGCCAAGTTCATACGGAAGCGGAGGCGCGCCGCGGACTCGACGCGCGAGATCCAACACGAGGTGGCGGTGCTGGCGCTGTGCGGGGGCTGCGAGAGGGTCGTGCGCCTACACGAGGTGAGCCAACTTTGCCGATGTATTTTTTATATGTGAGATGGTGGCAAGCTAGGCAAAGGCAAGGCGGCGGTGCACCCGATGTCAAGTGATAACCGCCGCCCGTGTACATTTGCAACACCCATAGGATTGCAGATCCGTTGCCACTTTGCGATAAAGCGGGGCCCCGGCTGCCGCACTCACCAGATGAAACGCGGAAGTATGACGCTTGCACTAAATACTCAAATCTGTGGATCACACAATTAGTTGTCTCGTGGGGGAATCGAATCCAAGCCAATAACTTAGCATCTGCGCGTACAAACACAAAAACAGTCTTCACATTTACTCATTTTGTTAAACGTAATAAGCGCGAATTGGCTAACAGATTTTTCTGCCTTCTTACACAAGAAAAGACTCGTTTTTATCATCCTACCCGCCTTATTCCTCCCATCCCCCTCCTATTTAGGGCCTTAAAAACGTAAAAAGTCCTCCGATATTAATCATTCACCACGGCGGCACGTTCGCAGGTATACGAGACGCGATCCGAGGTCGCGATAGTCCTCGAGCTGTGCGCCGGCGGCGAGCTTCAGCACTTGCTGGACGCCGAGGAGCGTCTCTCCGAGGGCTCAGCGCGCCGAGCCCTTCGCCACGTGCTGGAAGGGCTCGCCCACCTGCACGCGCGTCGCGTCGCCCATCTGGACCTGAAGCCGCAGAACCTGCTGCTCAGCTCGCACAACGAGGAGCTGCTCATCTGCGACTTCGGCATCAGCCGCGCCATCCAGCCGGGCGCGCACGTGCGCGAGATACTCGGCACGCGCGACTACGTAGGTGAGTCGCTAACCCCAGATAGAGAACACTTCGTTTCCGACCCCTTTCAGGCTTTGAAACGTTCGCAGTCGACCTTTAAAAAAACCAAAAGTCACTCGTCCTCATAAGAGTTGAGAACACTTTGATTCGTTTCTGATATCTTTCATATGTCGGTGAGTCGCTTCCCCAGATAGAGAACACTTCATTTCTGATCCGATCCGCTGTACGTTATCCTCATCAAAATTGAACTAGTGATTTGATTTTGCAAGTTGTGTACGGCAATGTTATAAATGAACGGGTCGTCCACAATCAACTGAATGTATTTTCTACGTTCGATCGGTTCAATGATCTTTCCCTTCCCACAAGAAGAAGCTACGAATAGCAACAATAAATTGATTAGACTCGGCTGTAACACGAAACTCGCTATCTAAATTGCTTTTGTACTTGAATAAAAATATGTTGTTTTTTTTTTTATCAGAACGTCAACAACTCCATAATCTCGGTGAACAAAGAGAATGTTTAAAACGCAATTGCCTAAGAGTCGTCATGCTAGCTGTGTTTTTGTCGACGAAACGTAACTTACACCTTGTTACACTAATTAACCGACCGTGCCTGACGCGTCTTCATTACGCGCCCACGCCTCCGTCAGTTGCAGTCCGCGAGGCGTTTGCATCATCGCAACGCTTGCTCTGCCACTAAATAACTACTCCATAGGAACATGCTTCACCGTGAATTATGCATCGTTATGTAATCGAGCTGTAAACTGTGGAAGTGATTTCGCCCGTTGCGTTAAGAACGGAAAAATTCCAATTCCCTCCTTATCGAAATCCTCCTATTGTCGTACGTCGTTTTTAGTTAAGCGTATAAGAATGTGATTATGTATTGCGCAAGAAATTGTTTCCACTTTATTTTATCTGTACGTTGTGCTATAGTCCATTTGTAAAAAAACATTGCTCTTGATATTGACAAATATATAGTGGGTTTGTTAAATTCATTTATTAAAAGCCATACCAGTGCTACTAAATTAAATTTAACAACTTTCTGCCAAAGATTACATTTTTGTAGATGATGTCGCTACATTCAATTTATATTTTATCCGTACGTACCCCAAATTCTTTCTAAGTATCTATCAGCTTAAGTTACAAAGATGCCGTATGAATAATATTTTCAATAACATATATAAGTATCACTTGTTCCTTTCAATGTATATATCTCGGGTCAGTGGTTTTAGTCGGTAGTAGTATTTTGACAATCAATAACTAAGTGTAATGCTTGAATGGCGTCAACGGAGTCAATGGCGTCAATGCAGTCATGGCGCCAATGCAGTCAATGGCGTTTACGGAGTCAACGGCCACACCGTCATGTTGGATAAAGATATTTGAATTTGATTTCAAATTTGTATCGTTTCGCAGCGCCCGAGATCCTGTCATACGAGCCGCTGTCGCTCGCCGCGGACATCTGGTCGGTGGGCGTCCTGGCGTACGTGCTCCTCAGCGGCTACTCGCCCTTCGCCGGCGACACGAAGCAGGAGACGTACCTGAACATCGCTCAGTGCCAGCTCTCGTTCCCGCGGGAGCTCTTCCGCGGCGTCTCGCAGCGCGCCATACAGTTCATTAGGGAGACGTTGGTGGTGGACCCCAAGTGAGTGAATCCGCACCCTCGCCCGTGCCGAACTCAACGAAGTTCGATGACGCAGATTGGAAAGAGAGAAAGTCAATTCTTTAGATAGGAAACAAAAGAGACACAAAAATACGACAAATCATATCGGCAGGACAAAAGATGACGAGGTTAATTACTATGTAAAGTTGGAAAAAGAAATGTTATGATAGTTAATAATAATATGCTAACATTATACCATAGTTAACTAATAAATAATAACAGATGGCGTGACAAAAAATCCATTCAAACATAAACCTTATCGCATCATTTCATATTTATCACGTAAAAGTAACATTGACGATAGTTTAACATAAAAGTGTATTCATTTATGTAGCGAAAATAATGTATTGTAATAAAATTTAATTGACAACAAACGCATTGTCTCCACAGGGGTCGTCTTACAGTGGAAGAGTGCCTGGAGCACCCCTGGTTGAAAGACGCAGCGGACCTGCCGCGGGCCATCGAGGGCGTTGGGTTCGGGGCCGCGCTGGCCAGCGACGACGCCGACTCGGACGACGGCGGCAATGGCGTCAATGGCGTCAATGGAGTCAATGGCGTCAACGGAGTCAACGGCGTCAACGGAGTCAACGGCGTCAACGGAGTCAACGGCGTCAACGTAGTCAATGGCGTCAACGGAGTCAATGGCGTCAACGGAGTTAATAGTGTTAACGGAGTAAACGGAATCAACGGCCACACCGTCTTTAATGGCCACAACGGGACGAACGGATTACACGACGACAAAGGTACTTACATTCGGAGAAATTTACAAAACAAGCACTTGGGAATTACGATTTTAAGATTCATTTTGGATGCTAAAATAAAAACAGGTTTAAGACCGTGGGATATTTTCTAATTACGTTGAAGCGCGATTACTTTGCATAATATGAATGTTTTCATATGTTTACCCGGCTTGTATTGTTACCCTGTCGCTGTTGCACGAGTCATTTTACACTTGGGGTTACTTTGCTCGTCTGGTAAAGTCGTCACAGTGAAATATAATCTACCTTTTTTATGTTTGTAATGAGTAATTCCACAAGTTCTGTATTTTTTCCCTATTTTTGTATGCATGTAGCTTCCGTTTAACTGTTGTACGGGTTTTGACGTACTAACTGTTGTAAATAACCAGTTGTCGCGAATAAATGTTATGAATTTTCAAATAATCAGAGGAAGTTTAACGAACTAGTCGCGTTTCGTTTCAGACGAGGCGGACGAGAGCGAGGAGCGCGACAAGCCGCAGAAGCACGCGCACGCGCGCGACACCTCGCCGCCCTTCCCAGACGCACCGTCCACGCCCAAGGTATTGTATGGGATATATTAGCGTGTTAACAGAATAATATATCGTTAAGATTATTGCGTGTGATCACTGCAAAATATTTAACTGTACAACTATAAGTGTGACTAAAAGGTCAGCGATTCGCTCTCTGCTTTAAATAGAGGCCCAATGAATGAAGCATGGGTACTGCGTAATTGAGGGGGGACATAATTTTTAACAAGTATATTATACAGCGTGTCGTTACCATCGCGACAATAAATGAACACACGTCTAACGCTACGAGCCAATAATCATAAAAAAATATTAACGTAAAACAAAATCCATAATTAAAAAAAAATATTTTTCAAACAAACTAATTAAGTAAAAAGAAACAAAATTTCTAACATCCTATACAACTCGCGCCACAGCGTCGTATTACAAGCCTCTCCATCTAACAGTATGTTTTGTCTCTTTTAAATTCATTCAACCCATTCATATGCTTTGTGACCTTTACAAATGAACTTCACGTTACGCTTTTATAGGTAAGGGTGTTCTAAAATGCTTTGTTTTGGAAAATTTAATAACTCTGTAAATATTGATGTTTAAAGAATTTAAACGTTTAATACAACTTTAAAAACTTATCCCCAATATGTGTGTTCATTTATTGTCGCGATGGTAACGACACGCTGTATACATATGTTCCTTATTTTATTAACTCTCATTTCATCGAGAACATTTCTTCTCGTTTTTAATTGCAACACGTTCACTTTAGCATTTCATGAAACTAAATCGGCGTCATTATTGTTAAAGTTTAACGTCTTGGGATCTCTCCATACAGACTATTGCACTTGGCACGAAACGTTGCAGGTGTCGCGCAAGTCGCGTCCGTCGCCGCCGTCGGTGCTCGCGCTCTGCAAGAAGTTCCAGCCCGACTACGAGAAGCCGGCCACGCTGCCGCACGCGCACGCGCACGCGCACGCGCACGCGCACGCGGGCGGCGAGTGCGCGTGTGCGGGCGCGGGCTGCCTGCGGGTGCGCGCTCGCCCGCCGCCAGACCGCGCCGTGCTCTGCTAGCGACGCGCCCGGCGCCTCTGCTGCCTCTGAGCGCTGTGCTGCCTCTGAGCCGCACGCGCCACCGGGAGGGGGCCGGTTCCCGAGCGGTCGAGCGACGCCCAGTCTGCCCCAACGGCCCGATATGTGCGGCGCGTTGGATAGAGGGCGCGTTGAACTGGACGCTGAAGCGCTGTGCCGCGGCACATTCGAGGCGGTACGACCGATCGATGCTCGTCGACTGTTTAACGAATGAGACCTTCACGGGACGCGGCGGGAACCTCGCTCTTTACGGAGCGCAGAAGCGCTAGGGGCGGGCAGACGGCATCGGAGGACGGTGTCGGCAGAGATGTGTGGTGATTCGGTGACAGGACTAAGTGACTCATTCGGTCCGAGCGACCAGTCGACAGTGTTGTTGGCGGCGACCGCTGTGCGAAACGCACTAGCGGTGCACTCCGAGCTTATGCGAACGCGAGTATCGCGTTTATATGTAATGTGTATATTTTATTGAGTAGGCGCCCGATTCCCCGAACTCGCGTGAGTGGGGACACCCCTCGTCGGACACGTGCGCTGTGACGGCCGTCGTTATAAGAATTTATACGATACGGTAATATATACCCGAGAATATTGTTATGTGTGTGGCGATGAATTTTTGTAAAAATTTTGCAATGTTACAAGATCGATTGTTATATACACAAATGCCTAGATGTGTAGTTGTTTCACTAGTATATTTACACGGATGTTATGAGTGCGCCGGCGACGCACGGGCTGCGGGGGCGGGCCAGTTCGACTACGGGATGGTACAAAGGCATAGCATAATCGTGTAAGTGAGCGTCGATGCAGCACGGCTTGTATATGTAGCTTGGGCGAGGCCGAGCGCGGCGCTGTTGTACATAAACCGAGGGTAGATTGGCGCGCCGTTATTTATTGGTAGTCGCGTCGCGCCGGCCGCCATCTTAGGTGACGTCGGCGCGTGACGTCAGCGCCCGCGTGACGTATGGGCCGTGACGTCACGCGGCCGACCGCGGCTTCGCGTCCGCCCCGCACAGTGGGACCAAAATTCGCGTGCGCGCCTGACATTCCATGTCGGCGCCATGTTGTCGTGCTTCGTGTACAATATTAAAATTTATCACTATAAGTGACCGCTTCGGTTCGTTACGATAGTTAGGGAAAATTTGTTAAGCTATGCGAGCGCCGAGCTCTCGGGTCCAACGTGTTTATTTCTGGCGTGGACTTGTCTTAGAGTTTAATGGGGTTTATTCAGTGCCTTCGCGCAGCTGTTCCGTTAGTTCCCTGTTGTCCATACTTAAACGAGTTTCCACGTTACTGTGTATAATTTTATTTTTTTCTTACGGTAGTATATCAGTTTTAACAATTTCTAATCTAAACTTGATGATTTATTACCTTGTGAAAGCTGTTGTGATTTATAACTCCTTTGTAAAAATAAATTATTGTGATATATAATTTTGTTTCACTTGTTTCTACATTGATAAGAAAACACTCAACTACATCTGGATGGGCAACGGTACACAGATTTGTCCACATAACAGAATATTCTATAGTAAATCTATCAATTACTGATTGTTGGCTTACACACAGTCATGGTGTATTTAGTCGGGCCTAAGATATCCTAAACCACTGTCATGCTATTAAAATTTGTAAATGAAAGCTATGAAAGTTTCTCGCCGCTGTGGGAATCGAACCCACGTCTTCGGTATTCGCGGCCTGACGCTTTGGCCACTAAGCTAAACGACTGTTTGCCACACTGACGAAAATCTTAACGACTTTTATCTACATTGTTTATTAGCATTTGAAGCAATGAAAGGGAATTATTACCTAATTTAGTATTTTCAATATTTTACAAAAAATTGCCTTCAGCTCGAGTTTTTAAATTGAATTTAAAATTTGAGCTCTACAAACTTGGATAAGTTTTATCACAAAAACTAACCATTAAATAATAAATCTTTATTTTGTTAATTCTCAACATATTCAATATTTACATTTCAATATTTCTCACTCTTTATTTCATCCTTATTTAATTCCATTAGGCAAAATCAGTCATATACAAAAGCGATTTGTAGTTGGAACATATAACTCATAGGAGTATGTTGATAACCATATAAAAGATTTAAAAAAAAACAAGTCATCAGCTGCAACTAAGTTCATTCACAGAGATTTTCATTTAAAAACTTTCTGTTGTCCTTACTTGCATTTTATAAATTCCATCACAGGTTTTATTAAATGGCTACATGGTTTCCAATCATAGAGACATTAAGTGTTCCATTATCTTAATCCACATAAGATTAGAGCAATCCAAACAGTGTTGAGTAAAAAAATTGACAGTCTTTGGAGACATTAGCATTCAACTTATTTTGCACCATTCGAACAGTATTCTACACTTACACCCGGTTTCTGAAACACTGGTCATCGTATAAGTTAACTAATCAGCTGTCAAATGGCTTTTCAAATGTTATTTCAATTGCCAAAAGGATTGTTAAACTTGATGAATTGATCAGAATGATCTTAATGATTAGTTAACTTCTACAGTGAGCAGTGTTTCAGAAACTGAGTGTCAGGCACTTATTCAATTTTAAAAACTGTACCTACATAACAACTTATGAAGACAATTATTTGGAAGTTGTGATTGTATATGAAGTGTCAGGAAGACATGAGCAGTCTTCACAAATTTTCCTATATTAAATGTTTGTACACAATTATTGCTTCAATTTTATTAAAATTTAGACACAAATGTGGCATTGGTTAGGTATATATGCTTATTGTTACCATACAGGGAGGCTTTTCTTGCTTGGTGGCTTGTAAAATTTAGGTATTTATGAATAACTACAGCATTGTCAACAAGTTCTGTTTTTTAGAGAATAGAATGGGGATTTTTTTTTGAAAAAAAAAATAAAAGTTTGTTCTTATTTCAATAAACGATTATACTACCGAGTCTGAACCTCCTGTGTAAATTTGGACACCTTTATAAACCTCCCTGTATATTTGGTGCAATATACTACTTAGAGTTACAGATTATTGCTTAGATCATCACTGTTTCTAAATAAAAGAGAAATGCTGAATGAATGTATTTAACAGAGTAAATATAAGCACCATATTGCATGAACAATAAAAAAATCTCTGCCAAGTCTAGGAGATGTTGTGCAGTAAAAATGGTATATCTACTATCACTAGGAAATTTCTTAAAACTACAAACGCTTTTGGCCATCCTGAATATATTTTAGATGACATAATTTTATATTTTACTCCAGAAACACACATTTCAATATTCCATTGAAATAATGACTTTGAATTTCACTAGTAAAAAATTCATAATTCCTGTCAATTTGTTGATTTGATTCTGTATCACATAATAATTTGGTAGTTGAAGATCAAATGATGATATATACAATAATATTTTGCACATAATATTATATATAATTTGTTATGCGATAATTTAGTATATCTTGCTAGTACTCACCACTCATTGCATTATCATAATGCATTTGATATTCACTTACGGTTGTATATTATTGACTTATGGGTAAGGCAGTGTCTTGTTAAGATATAACTTATTTTAGGCCATTTCTGATAAAAATTGTCAAAAAAATAACTAAGTTAAATGATTACAGTGATACTTTTCTGACCTATTATGTTGTTCAAGATGCCATCTAGTTATTCGTGTAAAGTAATTCGTTAGTTCATAGTAGTGTGACAAATGTTTATGCTTGCCAAACAGATTCCTATGTTAACCAACTTTGAAGACTTTAGACTAGCATCCAATATACAGAATGTTTTCACATTCGGTCACATTCATATCAAATTACAAATCGATTAGATTCAACCAATAGCCATTTCTGCTTGCACGAGACTCATTTGCTCACGGGCACTATCTATGGACTCACTACACAGTACACTTGCATTGCCTTAGTCCGTCTAATTTCGCACACACACTTAATAATAGAATACTCTTGGTATCGTAAACACAGTCTCTTCGCGGTACAGTCGCCGCCAGTGGAACGGCTAGTAGACCGGCCCCTGGTGTTTGGCCAGTGGCGTCAGTGGCCGTTCACGAGCGCCGCACTCTGCTTAAGTTCGCTCAACTGATCTGCGTACTCAGTGTACAGTCGCTGCCAGCGCAGCTGCTTCACCAGCAGCGAGAGCATTTCCTCCAGGATTTCGTGCTTCTTGATACCCTGGGAATTATAACCTTGTACTTAATAGAACATAAACAAAATTAAAATGAGCAATTAAGAGAATGTATCAAACATTTAATTTCATGCAATACAAAAAATTAGCTCATATAATAATGTCATTAATAAATGATTTTAAACCACAGTCAGATGTAAAAATTAACAAGTTTTACGTGTCAGTCTGTTGGTCTGTATGTCTGTCAGTGGCATCGTAGCTTCTAAATAAATTGACCGATTATGCGGTTTTTTTATGTCAGGGGGATACTTAAAATTCATAATTTCATATTATAATATTAATGGCGTCGCTGAATGATGATTTCAGACGTATCGTCTATGATAGTCGATTGGAATGTATTATACAGTGGCTGTTCAATTTAATTAAAAAGCAGGTCTTTAACGTACCAACACTGTGGGCTGCCATTTCTTCGGCGTCGACGTACAGTGACTTGGGCCCAACATATCGTCCAGTATTGCCCGCAATTGATCTTCCGTACCTGAAAACATCACAGTGATTGATGGAACACAAATATTTTACCAATTTTTTACAGATAAGTAATTCAAAGTCAAAGTCAAAGTATATTTATTCAATATAGGCCTAACTTAAGCTCTTATTGAACGTCAACAAAAGTCTACCACCGGTTCACTAAACTAGACAGAGATGAACCGGCAAGATACTCTGCGGTCTTGTTGTTTTTGTTATTTTTTTTTTGATGCAGTTATACACACTTATTTAGGTATAAGATCAACAGCAGCCAGGGGTCTTGCAAGTGCAGAGCAAGAGTCATTTCCAAACATCCTTGTCCTCAATGTATTCTTGGACATTATAGTAGGCCCTTGCCATTAAGGTAGCTTTTACAAATTGTTTGAAATTGTTTATGCTTAGTTGTTTGTGGATGTCACCTATTTTATTATAAAAGTTGATGCATCTACCAAGAAACAGCTTTCTTGTTGTTATTGTTATTGTGCAATGTAATTAGAAAGTAACAATTGTTATTGTTTACTTTTGTTCTCTTTCACGAAACATGGTTTAAAATGGTAAAATTATAATATGAAACTGTCACTATTTATTATGAAAATGTCACTATTTCTTTATGTAATAATAATTTAAAACAGGTAGAAAATAACTTTGTTTATTTTTTTTTTTGCTTAAAATTGTTAACTGCCACACCAGTCCCTGTTTTCTTAATAATTGAAATATATAAATGAATAAGCAGGGAAAATTTAAGTGGGTATGTAATTTTTTTTAACTTGTAACGATTATTTTTTTAATTGTAATGGAGTGTAATTACAGTGATTGACGAGGTGGAGGGGCGAGTATCGCAATAATTATCGTGGTTGACGAGGTGGAGGAGCGAGTATCGCAATGATTACCATAGTTGACGAGGTGAAGGGGGCAAGTATCGCAATAATTACCGCAGTTAACGAGGTGGATGGGCGAGTATCGCAATAATTACCGCAGTTGTAGAGGTGGATGGGCGAGTATCGCAATAATTACCGCAGTTGACGAGGTGGAGGAGCGAGTATCGCAATGATTACCGTAGTTGACGAGGTGAAGGGGGCAAGTATCGCAATAATTACCGCAGTTAACGAGGTGGATGGGCGAGTATCGCAATAATTACCGCAGTTGACGAGGTGGATGGGCGAGTATCGTAATAATTACCGCAGTTGACGAGGTGAATGGGCGAGTATCGCAATAATTACCGCAGTTGACGAGGTGGAGGGGTGAGAATTGCAATAATTACCGTGGTTGACGAGGTGCGCGAAGAGCGCGGCCAGCCAGTGGCGGTAGTCGGTGGGCAGACGAAGGTGCAGGCACGAAGCCAGCTGCGCTTCCAGCCAGCTGCGAGCCGCACCCGCGCTGTAGCTGCAACAACCCACACTCTTCAGTCTTCACCACTGCCTCTCCACGTTGCGCTGGCTATCGGCGCAGGGGGTCGTGGGTTCGGTTCCCGCGACCCACAGCTTCCCAGCGATCAAGTAAATGTACGTAGGTGATTGTAGATATTATGAGCAGCGTCAATCTCAATAGCAGGTGAATTGCCGGGCGCTCGCCTTTATTGAATTGATTAAACTCGAGCAACCTGAGTTCGATCCCCGGTGCTGCTGGCACCAATGACATTGTTAATTTTAAGTGCTAACTTATAACTTTTATTTTTAATTTTTTATCGTTTGTCACACCTGGCGTTTGCGTGCGGGCGCAGGGAGGGGGCGGCGTGGGCGAGGTGGGCGGCGGAGGGGGAGGGGGCGAGGGAGGGGCCGAGCGAGGGGGCGCCCCCCACCCGCCGCGCGCCCCTCGCCCCGCCGCCCGCGCGCCGCACGGGGTCGCTCGCGTCCATCCACACCACCCTGCGAACGGCCACGTGAATTATGCTCGGCGCGTAAATCACTTATTTATTTCTATCTCACTCGTACTCATGGCTACTATTAAACCGGATAGTAGCCATGAGTACGAGTGAGATAGAAATATGGGAAATAATAATAATATAGAAACATATTACATAGTTAGTTAATGAAAAGGGTTTCAGGGCCACAGTATTATCAAAGATAATATTTTTGTTTTTTATTCAATGATAATATAAGTTTAGTGTTATATTACAGTGTTATATTATCATTGAGTAAATAATAAAAGGAAAGTTTTCTAAAAATTGTGTTGTTACACTTACCAAGCGCACAATTTCTTACTGTAAATATAGCTTTTCCCATTACTCAGCGATATCATTGGATTGCCATCCTCCAAAAGTGAACAATTGGTGACTGACACTAAAAAAAAATTTCAGTATTTTATTAACATATAATTACATTGCACATGAATTTAATTGGCGATAATAATTTAATTTAATTGTTCCATAATAGGCACTTTCAAATACTGTTACATTCAATTTTTTAGCCTAGATGATCATTCTCCTGTCGGCATTTTATTCTTGTGTTTTTGTAGCCCATTTATGTTTCTAATTTTAATTTTATGTTTGTTTATACATGAAAAGCCAATAAATATATTCTTTATCAAGTAATGTCCTGAAAGCTATTGCATTGCATTGCTTACTTCTAAGAAAAAACTGGAGGATTTTTTGGCTTGCAGAGTATAATATTATAGCATTTCATTATTTTACTTCCCACTTTTTTTTGCTTACGTTATAAATCATTTTAATTCCCCTCTTCTTTTATAATCTATAGCAATACACATCGGACTATTAAAGACAAACCCTTTCCAAACATAATTTTCAATTTTTAAGCAGAGGAATGCAAAATATAAAATGTTTTTTTTTTTCAATACAATATAAGTCCATGTTATTCAAAGCAATCTTTTAGTGCTATTAAATGTTTATTTGTTTTACAATTAAGAATTTTGTTTCTTTAAATTAAAATATAACAGAATTCAATTGGTATACACACAATAATGTATTGAAAAAATTGCTAAAATTTTAGAAACTTCAAAGAAAGGGTAATCTTGCAACTTATGATGAGATGGCATTGATAATTCCATTCTTGGTCAAAAATCTCGCGTAAACGGCTTCTTCGTTAATTCTAATTACTTCTCTATTATTTTCAATGCAACTCACCACCGTGCGATAACAGATTCCGGAAACATAGGGGTCTGATGATGCAGGAGGCGTTTGCTAGCTCCCAGATGGCGAGCTCCGCCGCAGTGGTCACCACCAGGAGGGTGTCACCTGATAGGGTCATTTTGGCGGCCTGCGACATCAGCGCTGCGGGAGAATTTTTTTTACGTGAGAAGGTGGCAAACGTTGTGTGGCAAGTTTCAACGGTGGTAGGACCACGCTGCAGTTCGCGCTGGCACGGATGGGACGGTCCGTCCGGGGAAGTACCGCGACCTCACAGAAGACCGGCGTGAAGTAGAAGTGTTAACCTTCTGCGTTTCGTCTGGTGAGTGAGGTAGCCGGGGCCCACTCTGTTGAAAGGTGACAACGCATCTGCAACCCCACGGGTGTTGCAAGTGTCCATGGGCGGCGGTTATCACTTAACGTCAGGTGAACCGCCAGCTCGCTTTTTTTATGTGAGAATGTGGCGAGACTTGGACATTTTGAACAGACTGTGGGGGTTTGAGCTCTACTACTAGAAAAATATGCGATGAAGATGTTTTTCAAGTGTCAAGGGTCTTTATATGTACACCAGTAACTTATATAATTATAAAAGAGTATGTTTAATTATGTACATCAGTTACCTAGCGCATTATGCAAGCATTGCTCAGTTTGGGACTAAAAAACGTTGAGTGAAAATATGTCCTGAAACAATTTATTATCTATTTCGGAAGTCACACACGAGATCAGGCACGCTAAGCACGCTACGTGTACCGGTCTTGCCGTTGGCCATATCCGCGCAACGCCTCTAACGCGTCTACGCTAAGCTTGTATCACGCTCGTCAAGGAGCGCACGTCCAACGCGGCGAGCGCACGTCGTCAGCCACGTGACACCCGCGCGAGTTAGTCCGCGACTTGACACACGTGCTAGTTAGTCTACGACGTGACACCGGTGCTAGTTAGCCCGCGACGTGACATCCCGTGCGAGTTAGTCCACGACGTGACGCCCGTGCCAGCCTCTCGTGGGGCGCGTGTCACGTGACGCTCACCGAGCGGCGGCAGCGCGCGCACGGCGTGCGCCCTCTGCAGGCGCCACACGTGCAGCGCACCGTCCGCGCACGCCACGCACGCCCAGCGCGCGTCGCACGCGATGCACGTCACCGGCGACCCTAGAGCGCACGTATCCATTGGCACACGTCATTTAATACATTATCGTGAGCGTGAACTGGCTACTGTTTCCGTCATCATAGAATTTAAATAATGCAAATCAGAAAAATTGAGATAGCCACATATCTCCATTATAATGTCACGAGAAACAAGAGTGTAAGATATCATGTATCAAAACTTATTTGAATGTAAAGTATACCTAGATAAGTTTCCCACACAGGATCGTTGGAGGCGGAATTGTTAGGGATGAGTTGCAACCGGGATAGGGTTCCGTAGTGAGTGTTGCACGCCTTATTGACCACCTGTAATAAATGTTAATTTGAACTAAAAATACTAATTTCTACAATTTGATCTGTTAAATGCTAAGCCAAGATCATTGCTCATCATGAGTTTTCTTGAGCTCAGAAAAAGCAACCGCACCTAAGTGGACACAATATGACGAAACAACTGTAAACGCAAATACTGTAACTGTAAATCTCAAGTGATAATTTAGGGTTGTCAAAAATCAATCTCATCAAGTTCGAAGCGTTGCATTTATTACTTAGGGCTGTCGAAATTAGCACCTAGCATAACGTACGTGCAGTCTCAGAGCGCCCGCGGCCCTGACGACGGGCCCTGCGGCGCCGAGCACTGGCGCGGCGAGGGGCACGCGGGGCGGTCCCGCCCCCGCCCCCGCCACGCCCCCCCCCCGCCCCTGCCCCCGCCCCCGCCACTCCGCCGCCCCCCGCGCGCGCCTGCACCTCGTCCGCCCGGGGACCAGGCAGCGGAACGCCTCCCCCCCGCCTCCGCAACCGCTGGTCCAGTCCGCTGACGAAATAAATGTTGTCTTAATCGTGATTCAAGTATCGACGCCACTACAACACGTTATATGTACTTTGTTCCTTATAAATACACCAGTCAAAAAATGTCTAGAGCGCTTTTTAATTGAATAGACATTTTCATTGAAATTTTAATAACTTATATTTGCATTGGCATTAGAATAAAGAAACGCTAGCGTGAAGTTTGTCATTTTCCTGATATTAAATATAATATGTATGTTAATGAAAACAACACCGAACCTTTTAACATTCTACATGTAAAATTATTAGACTTAGTTCATGAAAGTGTAAAAATGTATCTGCGATATTGACAAGAAATTTGGTCCGTTACACACAAAATTAACAATAAAAAAAAACAGTTACTTTCACTCTTCAGCGATTACAAAAATCTTTTTTGTAATAATATAAAAAAAAGTGTTCACAACTTACTATTTACTTACACAAAAGCTTTTACGGCCGTTTTCAATATTCTATCTATTTATAAATTTGGCAATAGGTATTTGACATTACCTCCATAATAGTTATGTCAAAATTCTATTTCCAGTAACCAAATCAATAGATAGATAAAATATTGTAAGCGACCGTTAATTAATTCGACATAATTATGTTGTTTAATATTAAACGATTGCCTATAGGTTGACGACCCGAATTGCGTAGTGGGTAGTGTACCTACCTGCACCAGAGGGCGTGGGTTCGATCCCGCTACTGGAAAAATATTGTGTGATGAACGTAGTGTTTCTGTAGTGTCTCGGTGCAAAAGAAAAGTATGTTTATCAGGTATGTAGTTCCCGTAGTACGAGCGTTGCTCAGTTCGGGACTGGAGAACTCTGTGTAGGAATGCGGCTCGTCGGCAAGCCATTCTTCCTTAACGTGCGGGCATAGGGGCGCGTCTCACTTGTCGTTGTGGCGGCTGCCCTGCGAGGTGGTGGCGTGGTTGCTGACGTTGGGGTGGATGACGATGTCGTCGCGACGCTCCACGCGGATGCGCGACTTGCTCTGCGACGAGGTGCTGAAGCAGTTGTCGGAGCCGCCCGGCTGCGAGCCCAGCGATTCGCTGCGGACGCGATTTTTTTTTTATGTGAGCACGATGTTAATTAAATTCAATTCAAAATATCCCTATTCACATAGAAACGTCGAAACTTTACGTAGGAATTGACACGTTCGTAAGTCACCATCGGTTCGGAAAGCGGAAGAAACTCAACATATGCTCTTTTTTTAAAACCTCAGTTTAAGCAATTACCGTCCAGACGAAACTCAACAGATGCTCTTTATTTAAAACGTCAGTTTAAGCGCTAACCGTCGCCCGTCGACATTTGCAACACCCTTATGGTTGCAGATGCGTCGCCACCTTTTAAATAAAGTGGGGAAGGGCCACCTCAACCACCAGAGGAAACTCAGAAGTGTAACTTCAACTTCGCGCCGGCCTTCCGTGCGATCGTGGTACGTACTTAACGTACCTGCCCACTCGTGCAACAGCGAAAACTATTGCGTAGGCCACCATTTAATTTACCTAGCCAAAACCCCATCTAGGTGATGGTGATGTCCATAAGGGTGATGATGATGATGAATTAAGAATAAAGAGGATGGTGATGATGAATTTCACATGCCACCATTTTTCACCTCGTGTTGACGGGGAGAGAAAGCCAAAAGTCATAAAGTTCACCCTTTGTAATCTTTGTTTAAGGTTATTGCAATGATGAAGAAATAATACAAATAATACGAATATAAAGATATATACGACTTTTCACCTATGGCATAGGTTCATATTTAACCTTTCATGGCCTCTCAACATAATAGTTCATTACCTAGTTTATGTCTGTTTACTATTTATTAATAGTCAAAAGTAAAGTAATATCCTATCAATATCCCACTGCTGGGCAAAGGCCATCGACGCTAAAATGCGCTGCAAGACCAATTACTTTTTCTTAATGTGTTGTGTCAAAAAAACTGTTTATTTCAGAATGCAAATAATTATACATTTTAGTCGCAATGAGCTAAGTGACATACTCTGGTGATTTCCTCTTTCTAAAAATTTCATGTTTTAAAAACCCTTAAAACTTCCCCATGAATCACTCCGTCAGGTGATAACACAATGAAAATCAAGTTCACTAGTTTTTGATTTTACTGTGTCTAAACAGACAGACAGACGCGCCAAGGGGGCCTTTCGATATGCGGTAATGAATAAAGAGCACTGACTTAGCGTCGGCGTGCGTGAGCGGGATGAAGACGGGCGTGATGCGGCGCTTGCCGTCAGAGGTGCGCGTCTCGATCTGGCGGTCCATGGGGCGCAGCGGCGTTACGCACGCCCCGCCCCCCGCCACCGACGCCCCCACCCCCGCCAACGCCCCCGCCGGCGCCAAAGCCCCCGCGCCCGCCACAGCCCCCACGCTCGCAACGCCCCCCGCAACCGCCGGGAACGCCGACACCGGCGCGCTCTGGGAACAGACCGTTGGCTGAAGACGTCGTTCTAAAGGGGTCGGTGATGGTTTAAAAATTTGTAGAACGCTATTATAATAATGATAATAAAACAATTCATGCACACGATTATTCATTGAAAACGGAAACAAGAATAAAATTTCTTTAGTGTTCAAAAGTATGATTCGGCTGTGCTATACGATTATTTTCTGTGATGTAAATTAGGTATATATGGATAAACACACGAGATAATTATTTGTGCCAAAGGTTATTGTGGATCTGGGTAATTTTCCCAGGATGGTTGTCGGTTGGCGGTTGTTAGAAAAACCTATTCTATATCATTAACAATATGATTCACATGACATGTATCTGGTGGGGATCACAGGATATAAGGGTAGAAAGGGATTTTTAAATCCCACACCAAGGACTTTTGTTGATTTACTTTTTTATGTGACAAAGTGGCAAACGAGCTGGCGGTTGCCCTGATGTTAAGTGATAAGCGCCACGGGCATTCGCAACACGTAGGGTTGCAGAAGCGTTGTCACATTTAAATAAAGTGCGCTCCGGCTACCTCCACTCACCAGACGAAACGCGGCAGTGTAACGCTTCCAATTCACGCCGGTGTTCTGTGAGGCCGCGGTACTTCCCCGGACGGAGCCGCCCATTCGTGCAACAGCGAGCGCCGTTGCGTGGCGCCGCCACAGTAAAAGTTGCCACACTCACTAGTGACCTGTCGCCTTTCGGGGTGGTCTCCTCCTTGGCGGGCTGCCTGTTGGCCTCCTGCCGCTCGCGGGCGAGCAGGATCTCCGGACACTCGACCAGCAGGTTGGAGGCCAGATCGCCGCCGGACTCGTTCACCAGGCACTTGCCGTATATCTTCTCGTAGAACGCGTTCTGAAACGGCAAACGCACGACCGCACGAGTTAGAGAGGGATAGCATTATCACCAGAAAAATGTCAGGAATAGTGTTGCCTGTAAAGATCCGTGTCAGAGCTGAGGTTAAGTGGGGATATGTCGCGGCTTTCGTCTTTTCCGAACCGGTGGTTGGCGTTTTGAAAATAAATGAGTAAGAGTGTAATGTTTCTTTATTGAATAAAGATAATTATTTGAAATTTGCTTCGCAGACGATCGTCTTCCGCTAAAGATGAGCGGAAGTGCAGACTCTTGAGTTGACAACTTCGCTAACCATCGTGCTAACTTGCTTACTGGATACGATCCGATTGGAATAAATGAAATGCTACACTTCATATTCAATCTATCAAGGTGTATTAAAACTAACGGTGTGTAAAAACACGAAAAATTCGAATAACCGTATATTAATTTCCGTACATCATCTAGGGACCGGATAAAATGGAGGCCTTTAAAAATAATTTTTATCATAATCCCAATCCTAGGCCACAGTCTATTTAAGTCTGCATTTCGAAATAGAAACAGTAAGATATTATAACAATTAATGTCTAGCTCCAAACGCTTCTTTCGAATTAACCTTATTTTGAAGTGGGTGGAAATAGCGTTTGAAGAGAAGAAATATAAGAATCCGTTACAAACGTACATACATACAGGTGAAGCGAGAAAAAAGGAATTATACTCCACCTTTTCCTCCAGTGTTAGCGGCGTACCGATTTCTTTATTCGTGAACTGTATGCACGCGACTGTACCGTCCGAGGAGCAGGCTAGGAGGTTTAAACCTGAAACGTGAGAAATACATTGAGTTTATTTTAAACAAAATAATTTCCGCAATAAATTATCGACAGCCGCGATGGCTGGGCGGTTGGGACTCCGCCTCCCAATGCAAGATCGCGAGTTCGAGCCTCAATAGCTGAAACAAAGTTGTTATAGCTGAAACACAAGCTGAAGTGTCATCGCGTTTCATCTGGTGTGTGAGGTATTCGGGGACTACTGTTTTAAAAGTTGTCAACGCAACAACAAGCCATCGGTTATATATGTCTGTGTGCGGCGGTATTCACTTAACATTAGGTGAACCGGGTTGCTCGATTGAACAGACAAAAACATACGACTCTTTAGTTGGTTATACTCGAAAAGGAGGAAATTTATTCGAGAACATGTAGTGGATTGACATTCATGAGGTCATTAAGAAAGCGTTCATCGAATAGGAAACATAACTTCGAGCTGATGTATGGTCCGTTTAAGCAGGGGTCCACAGAAGGTGGAGGTCTCACCGTCGGAGCTCCAGGACAGGTCGAGGACGCTGTCGGAGAAGAGGTCGTGCACCACCACGAGGGGGCGCTTCAGCGAGGTCAGCCAGATGGAGAGCGCCCGGTCCCTGGAGCCCACGGCGGCGCAGCAGCACTTCTTGCCCTCCTTCACGAAGATGTTGTTATTGAAGCGCTGCCGAGAGGAGAAACATTCAAACCAATGGTTATCAGTGGACGATACCGCCCCCCAGTGGGCGCCGAGGCTATCTGAGGGGACGATTGAAACTTGAATAATAATGGGGACGCTAGATAAAAATCGATGGGTGGTGGAAAATAAGTTGTGGCCAACCTGTCCAGACATTCCACTCATTCAAGGAGAAGTTCATTAAACAGTGATGTGATTCACTTAACATCAGATGAACCGCCAGCTGGTTTGCCACTTACTCACATAAGAAAAAAACATATTTCCGTATAAAATTAAGACGTAGAATTTCTGTGGGGCGTTGGGTTATCAATTATTCCTAAAGTGAGTGGTTAAACCAAAACAGAAAGACTAATTTAAACTAACTAACCTAGCCTAAACTCAGCGTCTTTCAATTTGTCCCAGTTATATATAACCAAATAGACTGGTTCCGAACGCAAAACAGCGTTACTGGAGCTGTGCTGTGAATTGAAAGGCAAGTGAGAAAAACTCGAAATGTGTACGCGAGTGTTGACGAACGGACTGGAAAGATATTACTATCCAAATGCAACGTTGCGTCTGAATGTGTATCAAAGTGACTCCGTGGCGTTGTTGTCAAGGTATTGGCTTCGGCGTCAGGGTCGTGGGTTCGATTCCCACACGGGACAACTATTTGTGTGACCCACAAATAGTTGTTTCGCATCTGGGTGTTTGTCCACGCGAAATTTGTGTCTCTAAAACGTCCTTACAACACAGGATAATGTTATCCTAAAGTAAGGGTAATGTTCTATTTTTCAAAAAAAAAAGTGTTAAGTCAATCGAGGGACTGCTTTACAAATTCGCAAGTATAAACATGCTCGGGATAATGTTTTTATAATAAATTGATTATTATAAAAAATATAATAAATTGTATATATATATATATATATATAAATATATATATATATATATATATATATATATATATATATATAAGCATAAATCAGTCTTATAATCAACGTTATACAGTCAAAAGTCTTTCAAACACAGTGACAGCATGCATTCACACATTTCGTTCATTCAACCAATAACGGCACGTTAATCTATGGACTTGTTAATCTGTAATCTCTGTATTTGTCTAAAATATCATAAGCATAAAATATCGTTGGCATAAATACATAAACCCTTCGTGGGGTCCATTTGAGGTGCTTCGGGAAAGTGGGCCCTATATCAATGTGAATATAAGGCGAATCGCTCACGGCACACGTGACCGCCTTCCGGTGGCCCACGAAGTCCTTGTCGCAGCGCCAGCCGTCGCGCTCCACCACCTGGGCGGTGGGCCCGCCCCCGTTCATGGCGTGCGCGGACAGCACGTACTGCCCGTCGGGGGACCACGAGAGCCGCAGCACGTGAGTGGTCCCTGGAACAGGGAAACTATGGAGACTCCGCGGAGCGGCCTAAGGTAATTGACCTCGGCGTCGCGGGTCAACGGTTCCACACCAGATAACTGTTTGTGTAATGTTAAACACTAGGTGTTATTGCTTAATCATACCATAAAGTGCTAATAATTATGATTTGTTTTTGTTCTCTTCTTTATGGTCAAATTGAAACAATATGGCGATGTGTGTAAAAAGTTGAGAAGCATTAGAAGAGTTTAAGTTATATTGTAAAGTGTGTACCGTAGTAGACATTAAAGGAAATTATATTTACATCACTGCGTTTCTTTTTAACTCTGCACTATCAAACCTCAACAGAGACAACTATTTGTGTGAGACAGAGATAACTGCTTCGGTTCTGGGTGGTCGTCCGTGTGATCAATTTATGTATGCAAAACACCCTTACAAAAACAGGGTAATGTTTTTGGAAGGAAGGCTAAAATTGATCTTCTAGGTTGCAATGGTTGTTGGGACTTACATCACAACCCTTCCACACAAAGCACATATACATTTATTATCATCTGTATTATATAATAGTAAAAAAAGAAAAGAAAGAGAAAAGTTTATATTCTGTCACATGCTCACAGAGCTTGTACAATGCTGTTGGAGCCTGACAGGTGCAAGTACAGGCGTCAGGGAGATCGAACCCTAGCATGTCTCAAAGCGCACACTGTACCATTGTTAAATGTGGCCTTGTATCGGTTCAGACAGGACAACGAGGTTATGTTATCTTATATGATAATCACAAATAAACCATTGCATGTCTTTACTTAACATCAATTAATGTAAACATCTAGGGTTAGTGCTCTTGGTAGTACCAATGGGGACCAATTTAAATTATGGAACAGGAAGAGCTGTGTTGACAGTCATTAATATGTGAAGATAGGTTGAAATTGATCAAAGTTTTGTATGGAATTACACAGGTATAATAAATACCCTTGCTCACTGAACATATAAGACAGAATTAAATGTTAACATTGAAGTGTGAACCCATACAGGAAAGTGCAATCTTTTATCATACCAATTATATTGCAAAATAATAGCCTACTTTGGTAGAGGCTTATCTTTAAAAATGTCTAATTATGTCTTCTTTTAATTGATTTGAAACATGGTATGTTCCAGGGTCAGCTAAAAGTAAATGGTACCAATTTATTCACTAGTATTTGTACAGTAAAAGATATTCTTGTTCCTCAGAAAAACTTAGTCACCTGCATCAAATTCAAATATCCAAAAGTAACCTCCATTCAATGACAGACCATAAGCTTGGCTGATTTTCAGACTCAATAACAAATTAAGCTTGAACCAAAAATAGTGTAATACAATACAATAATAACAATATTTAGTACAATTTATTTATGGGCTTTCTTGACAATGTAAGCCATATATATATATATATATATATAAGCCATATATATATATATATATATATATATATATATATATATATATATATATATATTCAAATGTTATGGCTTATTTAAATATTAAAGATACTTTACCTCCACAATCTTCAAATGGTTCAGTAATCATAGTTTCTTGGGCCCAATCAGCTGTTTTCCAAACTCTTAATGACTTGTCATCAGACTGTGATGCTAAGTATTTTCCAACCTGCAAGATAAAGAAACTAAATTAGCAATTACAAAGATACAGAAGAAATGTTTAAAAAGGAAAAATATACAGAATTAAGCCCAGAACTGGAAACTAGTCTTGTTTTTATAAGACACTGAGTAGTCTTCAACTACCATTCCACCTGATGGAAAGTAGTGATGCAGTTTAAAAATCCAATTTACATTAGACATTGGAACCGAGAGAATGACAAATGCAGGATAAATATTTTAATTAGTATGGTTAATGAAAACACAACATTTACATACAAAGATACTTAAAAACATTTTTAAATGAAGCATGTAAGATAGAAGCAAGTAGCTTCAAATCATAAATATTCAATCTCTTGATATAAAAGTGGCAAAGACAAAGTACTTACCAAACATAATATAAAAAATAAAAAAAATGAAAATACTTACAGGGTCCCAAGCTACACCTTTCACCAGACCTGTGTGCCCATTTAGCACACAGACCATCTCCGGGAACTTCTCGGCATTCCAAATTATGATAGTATTGTCAACACTGCAACTTGCAAGCCATTTGTCCAGCGGGGACCAAGCAAGATCCAGAACATCCCCTTTGTGAGAAAAAAGTTTTTGTTGTACAAGACTAGACTGTAAACGGTACTGAAATATGCTATGCTTATTTAGACTAAAAAAATATTCCTTGTAGGTAAAAAGAATCTAGTAAAGGCAAAGTAGTATATTTTCCACACTTTACACTTAAGACATCTAAAAAATTTGATAACCTATTTAGACATTCCACTGGGAATCAAACATGTTTCCATAGAATTCTCAGCTACTACACTCTTACAATTTTATCTTGATAGCTACAGTTAAATAATTGTAAAAACCCATACCTGCATGGCCCCTTAAAGTAGAAAGACATCTCCAACTCTCAGCCTTATGTTTGCCTGGTGTAGATGCTGCAACGCTTAACCCCCACACCATCACAAGACGATCATCGCCTCCAGATGCCAGATACCGACCACCATTACTCCATCTTACACAGTTTACGCATGCTTAAAAATATTTTTTAATTATTAAACAAATAATTGTGTAACAATAAATTTTACAAATGGATATAACAAGTTTAAATATAAATAAGAAGATGACAATAATTAGATTTGAGAACTAACCTAAATGATTATCCATTTGACAGAGCATTTTGGGTATGTTAGGGTCTACCTCTACTGCTTCAAACAGTACAGAGTTCAAGTTCCAAACAACAACTCTGCCGGAGTCTCCTCCTTGTCCTCCAGTAGCGAAACGCTTTCCCGTTGGATGAATATCCACAGAAAATATTGGTTTATCTGTAAAAACAAAAGTTTTTGACCAAGTATTTTAACATCAAAATACGTAGAAATTGGTAATTAACATTAATGAACATACCATCATGATTAACCCAATGGGGTTTTAGCAGCTTCATTTATATATTTAGTCGTCCGGATGTTGTAAAATTTTTATGCAAAACCTTAAATTACTGTTTTTATTTATTATAATAAAAATGACAATGACAGCAGCATACCGCCTGGAACACAAAAATTTGGTTCAGAAATACGCATGTATTGAATCAAAATGGAATTAACTGTAAAATAATTAGTTTAATGCAAAAACTTAAATGTAACTCCGATAAGTATAATTTATTAAAGTTCAATTATTCTGAACATCCTTAGTATAATTATGAAAAAGATACCACGTAAAAATGTTGACGATATGAATTATACACATATTCTTTAACGAGAAAGTGGTAAAAATGACAAAATGGAACTGGACACAGTGATAGTATGTAAATACCGCAACCCATGGGCTTCACAACGCCAATTTATTCCACAAAGTGTCCAAAAAATCCAGCGACAGAAAGTTTTTTGAAATGCGCAATGTCGTGCATTGCCATTAACAACAAGATGCTAAGGTCCACAATGGTAATTTATGGTATTTCGCGTCCTATAACGAGATAAGATCAAAAATATGAATTAATCTTGAGACATAGCGACGTCGAGCTATCGATTACGATAAATTGAATATATAAACATTCGTGAAAATGTCTATGTCAGAGATAATATAGTGTTGGAATATAGGAAGGCAATAGCACACTGCAACGGTCTATAAAACAAACAGCGCTCGCCATGTTCGAGCGACTTTCTCGTCAGCCGGTGTAGAGTGCGAAAGCTCTACCCGAATTAATAACGATTGTGTCAGTTATTTAGAATTGTAATTAAACGGGAGTAACAGCCCAAGCCCTCTCGGGAGCCCTTGGGCATAGTTACACCATGGAGTGTCCGCCAAAGCGACCTAAGAGCTTGGTGGCCTCTTAAACCGGTACTAATAATAATACCGTGATGGCCCAAGCCGAGCCTTCCTCGGGAGCACTCAAGCTTAGTCACTCATAATTGAGGTACAGGCTAGGTGCCCTAAGCGCTCGGCCACCTCAAGCCTGGTGAATCTGTAAAGGCCTAGTCAAAGCAATGAGCGGACGATCCATTCAAAAAAACGATACACATCTGCTATGTAAAGGCGCTGTGTTCAAATTCAAAGTTTAATGTAATAAATTATCTAAAAACTTAATATTCTAACTAAGGGCACTTTTACGATACATTTAGATAAATTTGTGTCAGTTTCGTAACGCTTATAATCCGACTTTGCTATGAGTTAGACTTTTCAATCTATCCCATTGGCTTCATTAGCGCTTTTCTGAATCACCTTTTTACACATCAGATTCTTGTCCCTGTCTCACCACTCCATAGTTGTAATGGTCCTGTTTAAGGATTTAAAATCTGTAATAACGGTAAAGCGGAGAAAAAAATCGCTGCCCGCTATTTTTTATAGATGCCAAAGGTAACTTTTGTTTTACATCTTAAAATTTCACTCTCATTATTTTTTTTATAACACGCCTAAAGAAGTATAACTTCAACAAAAAGTCTATTAATTTATCAAATGTTAGTAATAATGTTAGTCATATAATATTAAGTACCCGGAGGACCGAGCTTTGCTCGGTTTGTTTTTTTTTTTGGTAAATCGTGTATTTTGGAAATTACATTTAGATACAAATTACTGAGTAATGAAATATGCATAATATTTTTCGATCTTACCGACGTAATAATAAAAAAATATAAACTGATGTTTTTCACAATAGAAAGAACTTAAAAAAAAAAGGGGAAAAAATAACAAAATAACAAATCGCCAAAAAATAAAGAAAGCAATGATCTAGAATCGAAAAAAAAGTAAAAAAATAAGTGTGTAAATGACCACGGCCGTCTGTTTTGGGGCCGCCCGATTACCGACCGAGTTATTAAGACATTTTCTCTTGCGGCGAAATTTACCGTCATATTCGAATTATATTTTTCATTCCCTGAAAACAGGGATAAAAGGACATTTCCTAAAAATGGAACTTAGCTAGATCGATTTTTCGCCCCCGAATCTAAGCACATACTAAATTTCATGAAAATCGCTGGAGCCGTTTCCGAGATTCCGATAATATATATATACAAGAATTGCTCGTTTAAAGGCTAAGATAAGTTAATTATGTTAGTTTCGTAATTATTTTAACTATTTTCCGAGATTCAGATTTTATTTACTTACTTACTCATGTATGAATTTTTTTGAATATATATATATATATACGGCTATCTGCGTATAATCCATTTCACTAATGATACCTCCCGCCGCTACTTGTGTGATTTGCTCAAAAACAAAAAGTGTTATAATGCATTATATAAATAGGTTAAAAATACTGTGGGGACAATTTAAATAACTAAATAAAATCAATGAACACGTAAAAATATACAAAAATGAGAAAATTAGTGTTCGAAAATAAGACTTGGCTTAAAGGTCTTGTTACCAGGCCATAAAATCTTTAATAAAAAAAAAAAAACAATCTACAGACCGAAACGTAGTGATTACTGATTACATTCTCTTTGCGACAGACGACAATCGTACACAACAAAATATAACCGTGATTTCGGTTTATTTTTGCTTATGATAAAAAGAAATTTGCTCGGGCAAATCTAACAAATGCACTAATTGTACAATACATTAGTTGTAATTGTAAACCTTTTAAATACGAAAGTAGTAGAATTTTTACCGGTCGTACTTCTTTAGTGATAGCATGAGAGGGGCCACGGCGCTCATATCAGCGCGTTTACTGACCCTCCTTGGCCATTTATCGGTACTGATAATCTTATTATGGGACAGCAAATTGAGCGTACGACATTGTTTCCCGAAAGAATATCACGACAGTCAATTCGAGACATATCACAGCCGGTGAGTAAACACTACAGTTTTAAAAAGTACCGGTAAATATAATATTCCGTTAATTTATTAATTACTGAATATATTCATATTATGTAATAAATAATTTTTAACTCGTATTTCTTTTAAGAATAACAATAAAATCTATAGAATCCAATAAATCAATATTATAAACACATTTTCAATTTTATGAATAAAGATACATAATTTCTAATTCCAATTATATTACATTGATTGTAGTTTATTAGATACTTATAAGTAATTATTATTATTAAAATGAACGTATCTTTAATACATAATTAATAATAGTAGGATCAATCAATCAAGTGTAAGTATGCATATGTACTAGGATAAGTATTGACCAAAAATAAAAATGCGAAATAAAAAGAAATATCCGATTCTTGATGTTTAAGAATTCTGAATTGTTTACTACAGTTTATAGTTTAGTCTTAACATTTAATTGCGTTGTAGCTAACAGAAATATTATATTGTGATTAAACTGATAAGCAATAATACTGGATTAAATTTAATTACCTACAATAGAAACTAATACCAAAATTATTAATAAATATGAATTTTGACTGTTACTTTATAATATTTTTATGTGACTTGGCAAGCGAGCTTGATAGCATCTGATATTTAGTGATAACCACCGCCCACGGACATTTGTAACACCCATAGGGTTGCTTTGCCACCTTTTAATGAAGTGGGCGACATTCACCAGACGGCGTTTCGTCAGTGTTACACTTCCACTTTATGCCGGTATTCTGTTAGGTCGCGGTATTTACCCGGATGGACCTGCCCATTAATGCAATAGTGGAGAATGTTGCGTGGCCCTGCCACCGTTGTAGTAATGTAAAAAAGATTTTAAAAGTACACTTAAGAACAGAAAAAATGTTGGTGTTTTCACTATCATATTATAGTTTAAAAAAAAGAACATTTTTTTCTTTCCGTAATCACCATGTTGATATGCGACATGTCGAAAGTCACAAAAACCTCGAAAATTGGTATGCACTATTTCTATTTGTATACATATACATTGTATGTATATTATATATGGTAGCACCGTGTCACGCACTTCGTCGAACGCCATCCTAAGTCCGCATTACACGAATTTCCACGGGACTCGACTCTAAAACGTCGCGGTGAATTCACTCGTTATGAAACGTGACACCACAGGTGGTTGTACAGTTGGTCACGCGACATAAGCTTTGCCATCGATAGTCCAGTTACAACTGAATCGAGCCCGATTGCGGCTTTGCGTCTTCGGGTAGCTGTTTGGTTTCAGTTCGACATTGTGAATCACGTGTGCGCGCCCGTATCGTATGTACACACTACAACATGACGATTTTAGGGCTGCTAACAGCCCAATCCTTTGTTTAGTTAAAAATGTAATTTCTTCTGAAGTACTTGTTTATTTTATGCAACGAGATTTGAAGCAGTTTCGTCCAATGACTTGTGAGAATTTTGTAGGAAAGTTGTAGATATACAAATACAGTTCTTTAAGCCTTTTCAATTTCAACATATATTGTTTCAAATAGTTGGAACTATAACCGTCGTCGTGTGAAATGCCTCTAATTATAAATTTCTACTTCCGATAAAACTTAGAAAGAAGACTGGGTTATAGCGCTAAGATAAAAATCTCTAAAAGTTGATCAACTCTGAAACACTGACCTAAAATTTCCGCCTCGCTGGCTTTTGGTACCAACCAGTAAAAAGTGTCAGGCGACCATTTATATGGTTTATTTTACTCTATTTTTTGTATCTGGTCTTTTTTGTATGTAGTTTATGGTTGCTGTTATTGAAACACCATGATGTGGCAGAGTTCACTAAACAGTCGTTCGAGCACTTGCTTAATCTGTTTACTATAAAAATTTTTAGTCATATAATAGTAAACACAAATCAAGTTCTTATAAACATGTAAACTTGCGTAGTTCATTATTTAAGAAAGCAAACACATAACCGCACATTGTGTCGTAAATTGACTCTGTAAGTGAGTTAAATAAAGATTATATAAGTACGTGCAACAATATTACTTGTAGTCACATTTGAATCGTAGCATATTATACGTAATGAGTATTAAAATATTTTATGGTATTCGCATTGTTTTCTTACAAAAGTTATAACAGATTGTAATGCAAGAAGACTATCTAGTTGTTCGACTGTACCTTCTCTTAT